GATATATCTATATATAGTATTCTAGTATTCATGGGTTTTTTTACCAACATTCACATCACTGGGGATTTCCCCACCACCATTCGGATTCAGCGGGATTTTCCATGGGGATTCTGAATGGGATCGATCTGGTTATGACTAGCACTTCGCCATGGGGATCAGCCATGGCCCTAATCGAAAGTTCGATGGGCCATACCGTTCTTTAAAATGGGTGGATCTTTCCATGGCGAAGTGTGAATGTCATAACCAGATGGTAAAATGATCGAAATAAATTGATGAGGAAGTGAAAGTGGGTGAGGAAGTGAAAGTATTGCCAAACTATGATCAATCTTTCGATGATACCATCAATTGATGATCATCTTTCTACTCTCCAAACTGTGACTGTGACTCAAGATCTGGTTTTGTATGCTTCAATCAGGAATTTCTTGGGCTAGTTGGTATTTTCAAAACACGAAGACTGGTGCGAAAAAAAACAAAAAAAACATCACCCGAAATGGTGAAATGGTCCTCATGAAACTTACCATGGTTTCGTTGGTTTTTTACGGGGTGTTTAAGGTGAATGGGGAGTCCATGGATTTTCTCTATTTTCTTGCTGGTGAATCTTATGAAATGCCGGGAAGGTGCCGTGTCTGGTGAATTTCAGGGGCGTGTTTAGGGCGGTACCATGTTACTAACAGCTGGTAACCTCTGGTAGAAAAAACCCTTTTCGTCTGGAGATGTTCCAGCTGTAGATGATTTACCCTCTGGTGAACTAACATAGCAATGGAAAATCACCATTTTTAATGGGAAAACTCACTATAAATGGCCATTTTCCATTGCTATGTTAGTTCACCAGAGGGTACCTAAATCCAAATAAATCCAGGTGTTTCCGTTGCCAGATTTGACAAGTGGATATTTCCACCAGAACCAGAACGCCCATGTCCTATGTCTTGTTACTGATAGACTCACTCTGCCGGAGAATGGGAAAAAAATAGACATGTGTGACATGTCCCCCTAGACTTCTTGGCGATGTATCATGATGTACCCTCCGGTAACTTAACGATAATCATGGATAACCTGGACAATGGTATAGATGGTGAAAATTGAGTTCGATGATTCACCGAACTTTCGAAAATAACAACATAGTACTAGCCTCTGGTAATAAAACCTGGCAGTGCAATGGGAAAATGATCGAATGATGTGGGGATCTTCTTCGCCATGTGGGTTTTTGTTTCCATGGGTAACACCATCCCACCCATTGAAACACCACGAAATCACCAAACAAAATCGCCATGGAAATCTCAACGATCATTCCGACAGGCATCTCATTAAAGCACAGTATCTACCCATATCCCCATGAAATCACATGAATTTCCGAGGAATCTGAGTGCTCCCTACGTCTCCAGTGGAGCGTCCATGGCACTCATGGTGCCCTTCTGTAGGACCAAGGCCTGAGAGGCCAAACTCTCCAAAACTTGGTGATTTTCATGGTCCAACGGTTAATTTACCAAGGGGTGTGCATTTATATAACATATAACATATATATATATATAATATTATATAATGTGTGTGTGTATCCATATGCATTTGTTCATCCATCTATCTGATATAAAAATATACAGTGTATGGTATATCCCAATCAGTTGCAGGGATCTGTAAACTATTGAGACTTCCACTTCTGGTTTTTTTGGGTATCTCGTGGCGATTTCGACACCTGAGATGATTTAACTGAAGTTGACTTTCCAATGGAAAACCTCGGCTAAAAATTCAAGAGCCGCGAACCGTTGGATGGTCCGCTTAAATGTGATTCGATTATGTGTGAATAAGTATAAGCAAAGTATTGCTGGTTGGTGGTTTCAACCCCTCTGAAAAATATGAGTTCGTCAGTTGGGATGATGACATACCCAACTGAATGGAAAGTCATCAAATTCCATGGTTCCAAATGGTTCCAAACCACCAACCAGAAATTCATCGAACTAAGCAAAGGCTTAGTTAAACACATCCATATTTCATTGGAACTCGAATCCTCAGGTGCGATGTGAATCCCAGCTTTTCCAGCTTTGAAAAATCGGTTTTGACCAGAGTGATTACCCTCTGGTAAACTAACAAAACTATGGAAAATCACTATTTTCAATAGGTAAATCAACTATTTCTATGGCCATGTTCAGGCCATGTTCAAGTTCGCAAACTGTTACCGTTTACCAGGCCGGGTAGCCTTACGCCACCCAGGATGCTTGGATGAACTGAACTTACCCAAAAAAATCATCAGAGGCTGGAAATGCCCCCCAGTTTCCAGTGGATATGGTTTGGAAGATCCAAAAGATTCACCAGTTGGAAGATCCAAAAGATTCAAAACATGTGTATAGTTGGAATATCCCAAAAAACACCAGTTGGAATCATCCTCTATGAAAACACCACTGTTGTTTTTTTCCGTGGATCGTTCAATGGGGAGATCTTCCATCCGTCGAAGTCAGTTTTCGGATCCCATGAGGTTAAGGTTTCTATCGCCAGTTTTCAGTGGATACCATGGGGAGTTCTAGGGATTTATAGGGGATACCATGGGGATGTCTATAGGGAATATAATGGGGATGTCTAGTGATTTATAGAGGATTATAATGGATAATACTCTCTGGTAATGACTAACACTTTGCGAACTTGAAGCCATGGCCCAGTCGAAATAAGAGTTTTCCCATGAAAAATGGTGATTTTCCATAATTAGTTATGTTAGTCATTACCAGTGGATATGTTTTTCAACTCCTACTGAGATCCTCTTCCAGTGCCACGGGCGGCCACGGAATCGTCGTCACTGATTGGTTCAGAAAGGCCCTGGGTTCTTCGCTACCAATTTGCGTTTGGGCACTCCATTGAAAGAGGTGTGTTCAAAAAAGAGGCACCCCTAAAATCATCTAAAATCCCATGGTTCATCCTCCCCTTTCTGAAAACAGCCATGAATTGTGAGAGCAGCCCAGTGACAAACGAAATCGCCCAGTGACTGGGAAATGCTGAACTCCAAGCTCTCCCACGAGGTAAGCCTGGCGTTTTACGGAGATTTCACCGGCGTAACCTGCGAGAGACACAGAAGAGATAGTCCCAACATGTCCCAACCATGTCCTGTGGATGGGCCGTAAACATCCCATGGATTTTGTTGGGTTTTCAACCATCCAAAAAATTGGTGGTTTTGTTCGGATTTCGCAACGGCCCATCCAATGGTTTTCCTCTGGTTTTCCTATGGCAGTTACTATTGGAAATCTACTGGTTACTCTTTCCAATTGGTGGTTTTCCAGGGGTTTTCCTATGAAAATCTTCCAGCTCTGGCAGCAAATCCACCAGTCGTCCCCACCTTGTGCGCAGCCGCATCTACAAAGACCACCTCCCAACAAATCATCCCAAGCCAGGACAACCAATGGCATCGTTGGCTCGTTGGTTGATGTTAAACACCCTGATGTCTTGCTGATCATATATGTAATATGTATGTGTATATATATATTATATATATATGTGTATATATATATATATATTATTATTTATTTATTTATTACGTATATATATATACCTACTGAATGCTGGGATTGGCCCGAAGTCTGAATGATTGAATGCTGTTGCTTGGGGATTTATGCACTTTTGTTGGAATATATAACTATAACTGACTATAAGATGACTATATCTCCCTTCACATAGTTTTGGGGTTGTAGATCTGATTGCTGGTCGTGGCAGGTCACCAATTTGCTGCACCGTAAACAACTTGAATTGATCTGCTGCCAGCAATTGTATCTTCTCACTGCACGTCCATGTCTCGTTCTTGGTCGAGCCAGCTGAAACTGACCTCGCCCAAGCTGTTTCCGCTGCCAGTGCAGCAGTCGCAGAGCTGCATATCGTCACCAGTTGGTGGAGCATGAACCACTTCTGTTGGGCATGAGTTTTTGGCCGGGTGGATGTTGGTGATTTTCTCACCAACGAATTCCGTCCCACATCCATCGACCATGCCCGGTGCATCATTCTGGGCACATCGTTTCTAAAACCAATACCCAGGATACCCATTGGTGATTTTTCGCACAACGCCCATGCCACGCGGATATCCGGTGGCAGAAGTGGATCAAGTAACCAGCAAACACCAAGATCATGTCTAGCGCCAAAGCAAAAGAGTGGCCAGCAGCAGCGTTCAAAAAGCTCTGCCGCAGTCTTCAGTTCAAAGTCTTCCACATTCTTCCACCACTTGTGTCAAGTTGCTCCAAAACGTTTTATCAAAAAACTCTGAAGCTGCTTGATCACAGAAAACAAGTCACTGGAGATCTTGACCACAGAAAAGATCTGCGATGGCATCGGGCGCCTGGGCTGGGCGCACGCCGCATGCCATAGGTTTTTCCAACGAAGATGGTGTTGAAACCATTCTTCGTGGTGAGAAAAATATTTCAGGAACCTCAAGAGATTCATCCCATGCTTTACCCGTGGTTTTTCAAACTCAGTTGCTGCAGTGCATTGCGCGCAGCTGCAGCTGAGTTTGCGAAAGGGGCCTTCGATAAGGATGCACACGTGCATCACAATTTCGCACAATCGCAGTGCCCCAAATCCGGCAACCTGTCGAAGCCAAGGGAAAATTTGGAGGAAACCGCTGCCCATGATGATAAAATATGATAAAATATGATAAACATCTATTTTTTCCAGGGTTTCCTCCAAATATTCCCTTCACCCGAACCAGTGATACTGAATTATGGTGGTACAACCCAATCAACAAGACAAAGGTTTTTGGGAAGGGCTCTGCTAAAGAGTACGGCCAAGTGGCCCAAGAAGAATGATTTCAGCTGCATTCTGCCACGCGCAGAAGACAAAACGCGATTCGACATGGCCGGTGTTTTCACCACAACATGGGTCATTAAATGTACCCATTGAACATCACCCAACCATTAGGTATATGGTCTATAATGGCTACTATAAGGTGATGTCCAATATTCCCAAAATGGGACAGTTACCAACCCCTGCACAAGCATCGAAAAGGCTTCATGTCTCATAGTTTTTTGATGTTTGGGCAAGAAAATCATCGGTGTAAACTCCCAGCCAGTTGCTCGAAGTCACGTTGGAAAATTTTGGCTCGTGGCTTTCAGGAGATTATTTCAATGATCACTTCAAAGGCCGAACGTTGAAGACTTCACAGAAGAATTTGAGGAACCGGGCCCTCACAGTCGCCCAGGCAGGTCGTGCCGAACAGTGGTCTGGGGTCAACATGGGTCAACCAACTGCCAGCACCAATTTATTCGATCATTGAAGCACCAACAGTTGGGGAAAAATGTCCAGTGAAGATCCAGTAAATTGATGTAAATTGATCTTCGGAACTCCATTTTGAAGCTTCATGTTACCCTCTGGTTATGTCAAAATAGCTATTGAAAATGGCCCAGTCGAAATCCTGAGTTTTCCCATTAAAAATGGTGATTTTCCATAGTTATGTTAGTCATTACCAGAGGGTATTTCTTTGGTCTGAAACAAGCAACCATCTGTAACTCAACGAACCAGCCCCAGGATTGACCAATTTTTGCTGCACTTTTTTCAGAGTCTCTGACTCTCGGATCCCCGGACATACCGTCCGGAAGGTATGATAAACCTTAGATATCCTTTGATCTCAATTGGGATATCAAATCTTCCTAACATCAAAATGACACAGGTTATAAGTATAACATAGTATAACCCATCAACCTACAAAGAGGATCCCCCTGGTTATGTTTCTTGGTTTTGTTTCACCCATTGGACTTCAAATATATCCACCGCAAATCCCCTAAGCGACCAAAAACATCCAAACCATCCCACTTCAGTACCTTAAATTTACCATAAATCCACCATAAAATCCACCAGAACATCCAAATATATCCACTATAAATCACCAGCTTCAGATGTTGACACCCTATCTTTTGTTGCTCAAAACCCCCCAATGTTTTTGCGGCTGAAAGTCCTGTTGAGGCTATACGAGTCTTTGACCACTGCACCTTGCTGATGTGGGGATTTCAAGCACTAAGAATCAAGCCATTCATGGATTTATGCCAAAAAAAAACGTGGATTTTGCTAGGGAGAAAAGCTGGGATAGGGATGGACAAAATCCAGGTTTTTGAACCATTATAAACCACTGGGTTCACAGAGTTTTTGAATCGTTGCTGAACCATGAATTGGTCTTTTAAAAAAAAAAAAACTACTGGCAACCATCATCTATTGTCATCTATCAATGTCCTAGGCGCGTCCCCTTCAATGTCTGGAATGGTTGATCGATAAACGGTTTGACCAAAATGGCCATCTGCGAAGCGGACGTTTCACGAAAAGGCAAAACACTCAGCTAGGGAAACTCGTCTGGTTGGTGGTTTGGTATACCTACCCCTCTGAAACACATGAGTGCGTCAGTTGGGATGATGACATACCCAATACATGGAAAAATATAAAATGATCCAAATCGCCTGTTTCATGTCACTCTGCAGATAGCTTTCAATCACTGGTCATCTCAGGAACCTTAATTGGAGGTACCAGCTACCATATATTTTGAGCCTATTTTTCAGGGCGCCCTGGGAGGGAAGATCCCCACAAAATATGGCCTGATATGGTACAGCACCTCCATTTTAGGATCCTGAAATTCCCAGTAATTCAATGAATTGATTACAGTGAAAAAATACCGGGAAGGATACTGTCCGCTCCCAAGTGAAGGAACCCATCAGTTGTGTCTCTTGGTTTAGTTTCACCCATCCAACCGCAAAATATATGGGTATGGGTCAAAATTAGGTACCCAAAAATTATGGATGGTTAATACTAAACTAGACTAACATCTGTGGTCCCCTAGGTCTTCCATTTTGACCCACATCCATATGGAGATTTCCTACTCAAATGGATGTACTCCCAAATCATCGACTTGTTTTGCGGATGTTCCATTTTAAACCAACCAGCTCGTGGGGATTCCCCATATCCATACAATGTGAGGCCCCCAAGATATCAGTTGGTTAACAAAAGCCCTAGTAACTATAGTTATAAATACCATAAACCATAGTTCTTATTGGACTTATAAACCAACTTAGCTATCGAACGGGGGCCTCACATTGTATCTACCCTAGAACCATGAACCTCAGTTGTAACGAATGAATCACAGGAAACCAACAGCTTTTCCACAGCTTTTCCACACCAGTCGAAATCGGCCGAGCAGCGAAGAAGCAGCTCGTGCACCTCTAAGGGAAGAAGGCCAGAAGTCTGAAACTTCTCCTGGGAGGACATTAAATGTCCCCATTGAACATCACCCAACCATTAGGTATATGGTCTACAATGGCTACTATAAGGTGATGTCCAATATTCCCAAAATGGGACATTTACCAATCCCTGGGCAAAGTTTGTCACTGGTCAAAAGATTGCCCTGGTGCCGTTGTCCACGATGGAATGAATGTGCTTGGAAAACATCTTTTAACCCATGTTCATGGGCAAATTGTGGCATACCTGTCACATGCCAGATTCTCCAGTGAATCTAAGTGAATCTGCTAAGTTTTGTAGTGAATCTGCTAGTGGTTTTTTGTCATCCCCCTTTTTCGGCAGCTGCTTAAGGATGAACGCGTCACCAGTTTTTTACGTCACCAGTCGTGGGAAGATCGTGGATGATGATCCATGACGATCCCAGGACTGTCTGAAACTTCACCGTCTCGGAATTTTGATATCTGAACCGACTTTGGTGATTTGTTTTCTGACAGCAAAAAATGGGAATATGCTAAAATCACCATGATTGCTATCTATCAGGTGGTTGGGAAACTCAATTTGTAGCTTCTTGGCTCCCTCCCAGAGCACTGCGGCTATGGCTAGCGGCTGGGGCACCAAAGAGCCCAAAGATTTGATCTTTTTCAGTATCAAACTATTCAAGCTTGGGGGTGAATTGGTTAATTTTGAGCCCATTCTGTAGCAGCGCAAAACTTGAACTGACCTACAATCCACCTTCGGGCTCGGGGCCTGAAATGATGAGCCTAATTGGGGCCATTTGAGCAGCTAAGGTCACCCCCAAATGCCCAAATCTGACTGCAACTAAGATCGCTCCTGGTCTTCTACTTCCAGAAGATCCAAAGTTCGATTCCATGTCTGCCACTGTTGTTTGGACACGTGGCACTTCAGTAAACGCTCACTGGGCACAGTGGCTCCAAGCAATCGAGGGGAGAACAGCCGCTCCATGTGCTGGATTTTCTCCTCCTTCACTGGGAATGACTCAGCAAAAAAAGGATGCAACCCACAAAAGGGATTTAGCCAACGCAGGGATTTAACATGATTTAACCATCAAAAATATGTCTGGGCAGATAATGACTGACACCATGTCAAGCGATTTTCTAGTTCTGCTGCTAGTTGGTGGGACCCGAGTATCAGACTCATTCAGATTGAATCTAACCATCTACTGCGTGAGGAAGGAAACAACAGTTCAACAGATGATATATGATGGAGATACAACCAAGCAAAATGGACATGTTGTAAAAAACCAAGGATTTTTCAATGTTCACGCGCCTAGTGGGTCATCCATCCGGCCCAGCGAAGAAAATCGCTCCTGTTGCAGCAGGTGACGCTCCAAGACTTCCAGAATGATGTCCTTGACGTCCTGGTCGCACAACAAAAGAAATGGGAAATCATCATGAATTCCCTCTGCTAAGTTCTCGGAAAATTAGGATTGAACCAAGAAATTGAGTGAATTTAGTCACCAACTGACTTATTTGAGGCTTGGTCCAAACATTGGAATTTCACATGAAACCAACTCAAATGGAGATGGCCGGATGGGGACCTCCAGTTTACCATGCTCCCCGATGGAGGTTTCCAATGGGAAAACCCCCATTTTCGAGTTCTCATCCATTGAAAAAGATGAGATTTTCCCATGGAAATCATCAAAAAAAAGCTGGGGGTATCTCTATGGAACCCCCCCATGAAACCCTCTGAGGGTTTCATGGGGGAAAATCCCATCTCAGCGAAAAATGTCCATTTATAGATGGGATTTTCCATGAAATCTTTCAGCTCGCCCCCAGCCGTTTCTCCCTGCGGGACCTGCGACTGAGAGAAGGACGCGGGGCGTCCGAAACGACGTAACACTTCATGAGTTGCCTGAACCTAACGCTGGCCGCGAGCTGGGTGAGTTGTGTCTGAGCCAGCAGCCTACACAAATCTATGCTACCTGTGCAATGGACAATAGCCCATTGAAGTGGATGGTTTATGATGATTTGCCGCATATTTGGGGTTGCCATGTTTCTTTTTTCGGGTGTAAGTCCCGGCAAAGTTCAATCACAAACGGGTAAGTGTCATTTGCTCTGTCCTCCGGTAACTAAAGAAACAACTATGGAAAATAGGCCTGTTGAATCGGTAAATCTATCGAAGTATGGCCCACTTATACCATAGCCATGTGACATTTTACTGACCGGAGGGTCATTACGGAAACGTCACTGCCAGTGACCAGGGCAGAGGTCGAGGTCCGTCGAAACACCAAGTCGGGTAAATCATGAATCAATGTCGAAGTCTACAGGTGGTTCATTGTGGTTAATAATGGTTAATAATGGTTGTCCATCTAAGTCCGAATTCCATCGAAGTCCATCTAATTAAGTCCAATTTTCATAAATTTTCATCTTCCATCTAGAAAACAAAGCCATAGAAGCCTCCCGACTCCATGTCAGCACCTCCAGTTTGAGGCTCTCCAATTGCTCGTACTCCTTAATCCAGCTGTGGAACATCCGGAGGTGTCGTCCCGTGGCCTGTTCACAGCAGCGACCAACGGCACGTCTGGTCGCAGATGTTCTGGGAAAACGATGATATGAATGATGAATAGTACTAATGATTACCCTCTGGTAAACTAACATAACTATGGAAAATCACCATGTTTAATGGGTAAATCAACTATTTCTATGGCCATTTTCAATAGCTATGTTAGTCATTACCAGAGGGTAATGTTCAATGGCCATTTCAGGTATCGATTTATTGGAGGTTACCAGATATAAGACCTATTTGTTAGGTCGATGCAAGGCAATATGCCCCAAAAATATGATTTTATAAAGTATTTCTATTTTGGGGTCCTCCAAAAATGACGGTTTTTGGAAGCATATTTCTGGGATATTTGTATGACAATTTCCAGATCTAAGGCCGGTTGGGGATGATTATGATGATTGATAGTAGTACTAATCTACTCTGGTTGGTGGTATACCTACCCCTCTGAAAAATATGAGTGCGTCAGTTGGGGTTACTATGGGTTACTATTCCCAATATATGGAAAGTCATAAAAAATGTTCCAAACCACCAACCAGTACTCTTAGTGAAAATGTGTGATAATTCTTATTGTTCACATCACTAAAAGTCCCATCCCCTCTAGTTACGACCCTACATCCGCCATGGTTTCCTGGCAAATGATTGATATTAGTGGCATGAGATTACCCTCTGGTAAACTAACATAACTATGGAAAACCACCATTTTTCATGGGTAAATCCACTATAAATGGCCATTTTCAATAGCTATGTTAGTCATTACCAGAGGGTATACCATTTGATCCACCTCCGAATATGTCCTGACCCGAATGAGATCCTCATCAGAATTGTCTCATGGAGTTCCGTCAGCACCCAACCAGCATATGTTTCAAAAAAAAAAAAACTTCCTGGTTGGGTGGCTCCATGCTTAACCTTCCAAACTCAAATTTCAACCATTTTTCAGCCCACTTTTTTTTTACAAAAAAAAATCCGCCTCGGGAGAAACTGCACTCGGGCCGAACGACCCGTGAACGCGGCCTTGGGACATAACTGCTTCAGGAAACCTGAGAGGCTGATCTTCGTGCGTGACTCCTGCACGGGAGAATCACCATGGGGCAAGGTAGAAGGGACCTTGCCGTAATTGAAATGTTTCAGTTTCATCCCTGAATTTAATAGTATAATAGTATTAACCACAGTAATTTACAGTAATATTAGTATATTAATGTTAATAATTATTATATAATGTTTCATCATGTTTAACATTAACATGAATATTCGCCATCTGATTCTGAAAGTACTCAATTTTCACCTCTACGCACAAACAAAAATGGCTAGAAATGGTGGATCTTCCACTACCCCTTTTGTATTCTCAGAGGGTAATTATTTGCAACCAGCAGATAGATATACATCGCAATTGCAATCGAGCACTTGGAGTGGCGTCTCCTATTGTTTTCCAAAATGTGTTCCCACATGTTCTATCCCATTCTGTTTCTGGATCTCGCTGCTTCGTTTGCCAACTTTTATACAGTACAACGGGGGCACAACAAATTGCCATGTCCGCTTTGTCAAAAACGTTGCCAGAAAATGCCAGAGGTTGGGATCCATGTGGCTTTTGTTGAGTCGCGGCTCTGAAGACCTTGCCAAAAAAAACCGGCCTGGTCAACGTTTTTTCAGTTTGCGAAGTGGAAAATCACGATGTGAATAGGTACCCTCTGGTAATGACTAACAGTTTGCTATTGAAAATGGCCATTTAGTTCGTGAGTTTTCCCATTAAAAATGGTGATTTTCTGTTAAATTACCAGAGGGTAAATCAACGAAACATTCTAGGGCCATGTTCTATAGTAAACTGTTAGTTTCCCAGAGGGTACAACAAAAAATGATGTTTCATCATGATGTCCCCCCTTAAAATCCTCAGGAGGAGCTAAATCCACAATTGTCAGACACACCCAAATATCCGATTGGTGGGTATATCCCCAATCTATCCCCAACATATTCCCATTATATTCCAATGATTGGTTATAGATCCCCATCAAATTGATGGTTCATTCTCCCAAATAAAATATGTGTATCATATATCATGTATCATACATCATATGTCATATATCAAAAAAAACATGTGTGAATCATATGTATATATATATATATATCATATTAGAAATATATATATATATATCATATACGCTACTAATCATATGTCATATTATATAGGGGTCCCATAATCATGTTAATCATATTAGAATATATATATATATATTATTGTATGACCATTAGAATATATCGTTATTAGAATATGTTATCATATAAACATATATATATACTTTTCTATATGGAGAAAGGATGGGACTTCGATGTTTGGCCATTTTTGAACTGGCCTCCACAAGGTCCAAGGCTGGGCAAAGCCGCTCCTCAGCACTCCAAAAACATCGGTAGATTTTTGTGGTGAAAAAATGCCCAAACATGGTGATGAAAAGATAAACAAAGAGGATTACCACATCAAAAATTGATAAAAATTGGATATAACATGATATAACTGGTGGAACCACCAATTGTTGAGATAATGTGGTAGTCAAAATGCATTATTTAAAAATTACATAGCGACAAATGTGCCAAAACTATGAATGTGGGTTAGTCCAGCCAACAGGAATGGGCGCATGAAGCCAACCATATTGGTTGGGAAAATAACAATTGGATGTTTTTCGGCATAAAACCAGGACCTTGAAGCATGGCGCATGGGAGTTCGGGGATACCCCATGTTTTGACTCTCGAAGGATGCCCGGGGCCCGTACCCTTGAAGACTTTGAGTGAAATGTCCTTAAAGTACGCTTACAAATGCGACAGTTGCGAGTTGAAGAACGAAAAATCGAATAGGTGTGGGAAAGTTCAAACCTGTGCAACGTGGTGTTTTACATGTGTTTACTGTATGTTCTTGCATGCTCTTTCAGCCCCATCAGAGTGCAGCTAAGCCTCCATCCATAGATCAACCAAATCCATTTGAATGCCATTCAAAGCTTTCTCAGCATCTGCACGGGAGATATCGAAAGAGCCAATGGAAATGCAATACGAAAAGATTCTGTCTATTGCCTCGGTGAGATGGAACAGCAGACGAAGATGCTGAGTCGATATTCGTGTTGAAAAATGAGATGCCTGGAAAATGGGCTTCCCAAAACTTCAAGGGTATATTCCAGGTATAACCACCAATATATGGAATCCCTCCTGTTATAATATATGATATATTCCAGGTCGATCATTAAATATCATAATGATCATGAAAAATATTCGCGCCTTACCGCATAGCGCACGGTGCGCCCCCCGATGGTGACCAGCAATCAGTGGAACATCGGGGAACAGTTCGTTCATCGAAAAATCCGTTGGCTTTCCATAGAAAAAAATACATGGCGCCATGTACATGGCAATGTACCTGTAGGAAAAACCACTAAAAAACCACTGAAACCACAGTTACCCTCTGGTTATGACTAAGCGAACTGGAAAATGGCCCATAGAAACAGATGATTTTCCCAGCGACATCAACCTCAATTGACCATGGATTTTCCACTTCGCAAAGTGTTAAAGAAAACCATCTACACCCAGTCCGCCATGCTCACTCCGCCATGCTCCAAGCTACGATCACCTCGTGTCGTCGCAAGAAGCCTCGCGAATCCAGGGACAGTGCCGTCTCCAAGGGCAGCGCGACAGGACTTCTGTGCGAAAGACGAAACTTCCGCGCTTCCTGGACCCAGATGGACCCCGCGGACCTTTCTCGACCAAAATTGGGGACCAAAAAAGAATGGCAGAAACAAAAGATTTGGACAAGAACATGAATGATTTTTCGAGAAAAAAAACGACCAAAGGTGGGGAATTCACTTCTTAATTGCCAATTGTTGGAAGATTTTAACATAGTTTTTAACCACCAATATAGAGGAATTCAGCAGGGGAAGACTCTCCCGCGATGCAGTGGATGATCTCACCAATTAATGATGTGGTTTTTCCTGGCAACCCTAATATTAGCACGCCCAAAAAAACCAAACCACTGAATTGATGCCTATTTATCCTATTTGATGTTGGGATTTCAACGAATTTGTGGGTTGGTATTGACCAACAACCGATGTTTGTACACAGAATTTCAACGGACTCTCCGAAAAAATATCCTTCTCCCTCTCGGTGGAAGGGAAATTTCGCAGCCTTGTATTGACGGAATAGCTATGGTTTCAACATGTTTTTCAACCCGGAATTGTCCGCAAAGCCGACAATTTCAAGGCAGGCGCGCGGCTGCCTAATTCTTACATGAAATCTCCGCATTAAAACGGTTTCCCCATGTCCTTTGTCAAAAAAAAAAATCGGGTGTCCTCCTCGAACAGTTCGGGGTCGTCCTCCTTCGGAGGTCAATGTCTGCAATCACTATTACCCTCTGGTTATTTAACATAGCCATGGAAAATGGCCCATTTACAGATGATTTTCCCATTAAAACCTCAATTTATAAGGGATTTTCCATGGCTATGTTAAATAACCAGATGGTATATATCATTGTTACGGTTGCTATTGTTGTTATCATAATTACCACTATCATTATCATGGTCATTGCCATTATCATGATTGTCATCATGTCATCACACTCATTATCATTTGGATTTTCACTATCATTATCATCACGATCATTATCATTACTACTATGTTTCTTGCTTTTGTCGTTATTATGGTGCTTATTGCTAGGATAATCATTGTAGTTCTTATCGGTGATACTATTGTCAAATAGTGCTATATATATATATCCGATGTTGAAAAAATGGCATTCTGTGGTGTGACTATAACTACGTATACATTTGCATTTACATATACATATGCATATGCATATACATACACATATCCATGTACATGCACATGTACATAGACATGGACATATACATTGGTTGAGGACGGGATTCCCTTCATGGATCCATGATCGGCATCAAAACGAGATGTGAAAACCTATAAGACCATTTTTAGCAGATGAAGATCCATTTATCCGTGAATTCCTTCCCACTCTGAATAAACACTCCGGAATCCGAAAGCCAAATGTTAGTATCAAGTATTAGATCTGATTTTGCCACAAATGAGCTGCCATTTTTCAGGGAAATTGACTGATCAGCTGTGAGGCTGGCGGCCGTTTCCTCTCCTGACCAGGCACCGAAAAGCGTTCAATGAAGAGCACGAAGGGCAGATTCAGCGGGTCATCGCTATGGCCAAGGAGCCATTCTTCGATCAAGGAAGATGGTAGAGATGTGGCATCGCCCAGCACCTCTCCTGGCGCCCGTTTTTTACTAAAAATGGGTACCGTATCACCAAAATGGATTGTAGGATCAAAATCTGCGGTGCCCAAAATTCAAACATTCAAGATTCCAAGCTTGAGATTCAAGGTTCCAAGCATCAAGGTTCCAGACTTGCACGGGTACAGGCTTGATTGATCAACAACGAAATGCTCAGAGCCATGCAAAGCCACGGCAAATCACAATAAAGCTGCTTCAACTGATACAAACAAAACAGGATCCGCAGCAAGGCGTCAGCTTTACAAGGTTCCAAGGTTCAAAGTTCCGGCAGGGTTCCAGCAAGGGTCCCTGCAAAAATTTCCTGAAGGTTGCAGCAAGGTTCCACCAGGGTTCCTCCGGTGGTGCGGTTTCCTGACACCACTCCCCAAAGAGATTGAATCCCATCGTGGGAAATTTCCCCTGCCGAATTCCAACTCGCCAGCTGTCACGGTCCTTTTTGATCTTCATAGACATGCAGAATACGTTGGAATAGATGGCATGCAAAGGTCCTAATCCGTTGCAAAGAAATCTGGGGAGCTGTTGAGTTATAAACCTCAAGCAGCAGGAGAAATGTTAGGTATACTGGAAGTACCTACCATACATAATACATAGGTCATAGAGTCTATGTATTGAGAATGCTTCACCACAAAATCATTTGAGAAATGGTGCTTTACCTACCACTCCATTAGATCCATTTGAAATGGTCTCCATGGCCAGTGGCTATGGCATATGGTTGGGGCCAATTTCCTGTCACTTAGTAACACCCCCTGGGTCAATGGCCTGTTTATGACATCAGCTTCACCACATGTTACTACATTGTTGGTTATTTCCCAATCAATAGTCCAATTATCTCTCATTATATATATATATAATCAGATAGATATACATATATATCATTTGTATACTTCATATTGTATCATATGCATATCATATGTACATCATATGTACATCATATGTACATCATATGTACATCATATGTTCTATCATACCATATAATATCATATTATGTATATCATATCTACATCATATCTACATCATGTAGAAAGACCCCATATCAGTTGGTGAAATCCATACACAGCAACAACAACAACAACAACAACAATAACAACAACAACAAACCAAGAATCTCGATGCGCTCCACATTCGTGTCCTGGATCCCAAACCTGGGAAAATATCATCAGGGGTGGCCCAGCTGGCCCAGGAATGCGAGTGATTTCTGTTTTATCTATCAAGTGTGTACATATATCATACAAACATCATAGCATATAGTTATAAATGTATACAAATCTACATATATAGATATATATATATATATTTATTTGTTTATTTATTGATGTCTCTTCATATATGCGGTGAAACAATCCAATTACAAATTGGAGCTTGCCAAAGATTCACAAAACAGCAACGAAAATAAGTAGATCGCTTACATCGCCATGAACACAGGGTTTCTGAAGCATCTCAGTACTCTTTGTGGATCCCTTTTTAGAGTTGTTTTCCACTTGGCATCTCCCAGTCTTCCATGATTTGGGGACGGGGCATGGGTGGATGGTGGCATCCGCACCTTCCGCTGAGTGCTGCTTCGGAACATCGCAGCTATGCCATGATAGACAGCCTTCATCATCCGCATCAACTTCCCCTTGTCGAAGAGACGCTGGTCGTTTCCATCGAAAATGCCCAGCAGGAAGCGGATCTTTTGTTTCTTGGAAATGACCTCTGGAAGGTCGGGGAAGGTCAGGGATCGCAGCAAATCGGCGAAGTGGGCCGATCCACTGGGCCCCCGGAGATAGTTCTAATCCAACTGGGGGGGCTGTGGTGGATCTATCTCTCCAGTTGGATCGGTTTGTAAACCAACTTGTAATTGGGGATTCTCTGGTTGAGCATCAGAACTTTTTGGGTATTTTTTTCACGTTGGATCACTAACCAGCAACAATTCGGTATTCAAAAACATGGTAAGGGCTAACAGTAACCAACAACACTGGATCTGGGCAAATCATTGGTTGAACCAGTGATGATTTCTCCACCCAAAAACGGGCAATACCCAACCAGCGGGAACCAAACATGGGTTTCTGGGGATTTGGGTCGACTTTCCGTCTGGCTCTGAATAGCTATGTCGCGCAACGCGGGCAGTGTCGAAAGGGCTGCGTCGATTCTGGGCGCATTCGAAAGGGCGCATTCTGGGCGCATTATCATCAGGTTTCGATCAAATCTGCCATCAAATGGTATAGATATATAGATATATAGATATAGATATAGATATATAGATAGATATATAGATATAAAGATAGATATATAGATATAGATATAGATATAGATATAGATATAGTTATATATATATGTAGAGATATATATATATAGATAGATAGATAGATAGATAGATATAGATATAGATATAGATATAGATATATATATATATAGAGACATATAGATATATATATATAGATATAGATATAGATATATATATATAGATAGATAGATAGATAGACATATAGATATATCTATCTCTAGATATATAGATATATATAAATATATGTATAGATATATATATATATGTATAGATATATATATATATAGATATATATAGATATATAGATAGATAGATAAACATCTGGGGAAAATGATTCTTAGATATCCATCCCAGGCTTAAAACAGCCACAGCTTTTCCGAGCCTTCGACAGCAGAACGCACGCAGACAGCAACGCCTCGGCTTCACTGTCCGGGCTTCAACCTCTGGAAAAATGGAGGAGTTAAGCAGTACCCTCTGGAAAACATAGAAAAATATAGGGCATAAAACTGTGTTATTTAATGGGATTTATAGGGATTTATAGGGCAAAAAAATTTTGGATACCATGAGGATTGGGATATATAATCGGGATTGACATGGGATCAGATTGGGATTAGCCTCTGGTTTTCACATACCAAAACCGAGGGAAAAAATCAACCGGACCCAATGGCGGAGTCAATTCATTGGCACCAACAAAAATGGGGGTGGTTGAGCCCGGGCCTGAGCCCGGCCCGGCCCGAGCCCTCTGAAAAATGATGGTTAATATATGGTTATAATATGGTTAATGATGGTTAATATTAATCTGGTTGGTGGTACACCTGCCCCTCTGAAAAATGATGGATTTTGTCAGTTGGGATGATGACATTCCATTCCCAATTGTTTCTGGAAAGTCTAAAATTCCATAGATTCCATGGTTCCAGTCACCACCAACCAGCCACTCAAATGGGATAGATTGCTGAAAAAAACCCAAGCAGCCTCTGATTTTCCAGGCTAATGGAAGATGATGGTTACGGATTACCATCGAATCAGTAAATCCAATGGAGGCCGATGATCAGACCCAGTCGATGATTCACATTGGTTGGGAACTTTCATAAAAATCGACTGGCACTACTGGCACTACCCTCTGGTAAATTAATATAACTATGGAAAAATCACCATTCTATAGCTGGGTAAATCCACTATTTCTATGGCCATGTTCAATAGCTATTTTGACATAACCAGAGGCTATTTCTTGCGACCCCCAATTTTTCACCAACGAAGTGGGTTTTCAGGGACTGACATTGGACAAGTGGCATCCACTGGCAATCGTGCTGCCACCTTGGTGCGATGGTTTTTTTCGACGGCCGATCGAAACCCTGGTCGTTTATGGGATGGGATTGATTGGGATTGGTTGGTGCAGGGACTTACCCTCCGGTAAACTAACATAGCTATTATTGAAAATGGCCATTTATAGTGAGTTCTCCCATTAAACATGGTGACTTTCCATAGTTATGTTAGTTTACCAGAGGGTATCCATGATTTCGCTGATTCAACTTCCCCAAATCCACTTTTTTCTCCAACTTGGACCACGTGACGTACTCTGGTTGGTGGTTTCAATCCCTCTGAAAAATATGAGTTTGTCAGTTTTGCCACTTTATTCCCAACTGAATGGAAAGTCATAAAATTCCATGGTTCCAGTCACCACCAACCAGTGTGTATATATATATATCATATATCCCATCAAATATCCCTACTATGGTTGGCTATAAATCCCATATATTATGGAAAATCAACTAGTAGTTTGCTTATTGAAGTGTCATGAAAAAACTCTGCCGGAGTTTTTTGGTCTCCAAGATGCATTGTCCTCGGGATCTCCGGCATGCGCCTCAGGGTCAGAGGGTGAGGGGAAGCCCGGGTCAGTGGATGGAGATGATGGGGATATGGATTGTGTCTGGACCATGTTTGATAATTAAATGTAATCAGATACCTGGTTGGTGGTTAATACTGGTTAATAGTGGGATAACAGTGGCTTAATAGTGGTTAATCATGGGATGATAATCTCGTTGGTGGTTAGAAAACCATCTTGAAAAATATGAGTTGAGTTCGTCAATGGGAAGGATGACATCCCATATATGAAATGGAAAATAAAAAATGTTTGAAACCACCAACCAGATAATATCATTCCCTCTCCCGTTCATATTGAACGCCATTGTCAATGTCCCGAATCTATGTCTAAATCCCCTACAAAACCATGGTTTATGAGTGGTGTTTAAGGGCTGAAAGGGGAATGAGATTCATCAGGAACATGATCTCATGGAAAATCAAGAATATTTCAACCTGATGTGTCCAATTCTTTCCATCAATAGTAGGACTCTGGCAAACTTCTATGATTGGCGCCACTAGAGTAGGGTTTGGACTCTATTTGGAGTCTAGGGCATTCTTGTCCCATCTTCAGTGAGGCAAAAAAAGGCCCTATCCACTTTCCAAGCCATCGCCTTGTCAAAGAGCTCAACGAGTTCCATGACCCGCGTCCATGGAAGCTCAAAGATCTGTTGGGTGTCATATGCCTCCAACATCCAACCGATCAGAGACACAAAAAATCCATGGGAATTTCAGGATCCAATACATGGAGGTACGTTAGTACCATATTTTTGTCCATATCTTGTGGGGATATTCCCTTACATAGGCCTGAAATATAGGCCTTATATATGGTAGGTACCTCCAATCAATCGGTTCCTGAGTCATGGCCATTGAAAAAAAGGCACCAAAAATCAGATCCTCGAAACAAACATCCAGGTTTTGCAGGTCATTTCAGACCCCACCGAGGCACATTGAAGAACTGCGGCGCATGACCAGGTCGCCATTTCCCCAAGGCTTGCCAATTGTTGTAGATGCTGACCCAATTTCCCAGAGACCGCATGGCCAGTGTCTTGCATGCTGCCGGATATGGCGATGTAAGCACCACCTCCCAAAACCTGAAAGCCCGTTGCACCCCATGAACCAACCACTGGGGGATCTATGCAACAGTCATCCAAGCAAAATCAACCGTCCTCACCATTTCCAACTTGCTCATGCCCCACCCTTCAAGTACTGAGGGTTGGTGACTGGGTCTGTCGCGGTTGGGTATGAGTGAAGTCGGGGTTCCGCATGATGGTGATCATAATCCCCGTCAATGCCGTGGTCTAGTGGCAGTTTCTCATATTAAAACAATAAATGGTGTACTCAGGGACTGTTGACTCTTAAAAAGTAACCAACATACATGTGTGTATATGTATCAATATATATATATATATATACATACATACATACATACATACATTACCTACATTACATACATTACATACATTACATACATACATACATACATACATACATGCATGCATACATACATACATACATACATACATACATACATACATACATACATACATACACATACACATACATAATACAATACAATACAATACAATACAATACATTACATACATTACATACATTACATACATTACATACATTACATACATACATACATACATACATACATACATACATACATTACATACATACATACATACATACATACATACATACATACATACACATACATACATACATACATACAATACATTACATACATTACATACATTACATACATTACATACATTACATACATTACATACATTACATACATTACATACATTACATACATTACATACATTACATACATTACATACATTACATACATTACATACATTACATACATTACATACATTACATACATTACATACATTACATACATTACATACATTACATACATTACATACATTACATACATTACATACATACATACATACATACACACACACATACATACATACATACATACATATATATAATTATATAAGTTATATAACTATATATATTTATATGCGTACAAGATTTATGTTTACTGTCCATGTATATATCACTCCAAATTTTGTCGGGTCATTCAGCGCCGTTTCGTTTGATCATGTTGGATCCATTCCCATTTCTGGCAACCCCACGGTCGCTCAGTTGCCTTAGAAAAGTGGTTTAACCATGGTTTATGGTAGATTTTTGACGAACTAGTTACTGGTTTATAAACCAACATTCACATAACTGCGGGGCCCCATCCTGTATGAGTACCCTCTGGTAAACGTTTACACTTCACTATTGAAAATTGCCATTCATAATGGATGTACTCATTAATAGCATGGTGATGTTCCATAGTTTTTTGTATGTTTCCTATTGATCCCTTGCGACGTTGCCGACATTGCGACCGAACTGGGCATGAAGGAAGCAGCAAAAACAAGGACTCGTTTGACTCGTTTTTGGCTTGTACAAACCAAACTATCGTGGAGAATCCCAGTAACCAATCTATATAGACTATATGAGTTTAAACCTTGATTTTGAAAGGTCTCCAAACTGCATGAGTTATCTCAGTTGAAGCAAAACGGAGTAGCCTCAGCTTTCCATAATTTCATAGCCCCAAGCAGCTCGTGCATCCAATCCATCGAAGTCTCCTCCCGGATAGTGTTCCACACTTCAATCAAGGATAAGTCCGTGAAGGAGAACTTCCGAGAACTCACCGGGGCTTGTGCCCTGAGACATGGGAAAATGATGGCTTTTATGTGGCTTGAAATGGGAAGATTTTGAAAGATCGAAATGATCTTTTGGAGGATTTTGATGCAAATCCATTGGAATTGCGGGTACTACATGTTCAAACCCAGAAGAAATGTTAGATGAATCATTTTGCGAATTGAAATCAATTTAAATGGGCATTCCCACAAGTTGAATGCTTCCCCCTCCCAAAAAAGGACCTCAAAAATGGGCCGGATCAAATTCCTTTCACCGACTTGTCCATTGGGAAATGTTTCTTCGTGGGCTGAAGGGATCTGTCGAGTTTTAACTTCCACTGATTGCATCCAGAACGCCTGTGTGACAGCCCGTAAGCCTAGACTCTAGACCCTCTAGACATGAAAAATTCTGAGGTTGCTGGCATTTGGGCCCCATGGTCCCTATTAAAATGGGCGTGAAATATGATATACCCTGGTATCCTCCATATGTGGACAAAGCATGACAAAGCTATATCCATCATCGATAAGCTAAATCCCTATTCTTATAATGTTTAACCGAAAAAAAAACGACATGAATTGCAATTAGATATGAGATTCTCATTAAATCCATGGTGTGTCATCAGCAAAAAAGCGTCACCTCTTTTCGATAAACCCATCTGAAGTGATGTTGAATGCGCCTGTCTTTCGTGGA